CTCACAATTGTTGCTATATTTGAGTCCATTGTTGCAGCCACTGTGTCAATCTATCTCATTGAGAGTCTTTCTCTTTTTCGCTGACCCTCTAATTTACCAAGCATGATGTCCTTCTCCAAGGAGTGGTCCCTCCTGATAACATGTCCCAAGTATGGGAGACGAAGGAGCATTCTGGCTGCACCTCTTCCAAGACAGATTTATTCATTCTTCTGGCAGTCCATGGTCTTATTCAATATTCTTTGCTAACACCATAATTCAAATGCATCAATTCTTCTTCAGTCTTCCTTATTTATTGTCCAGCTTTTGCGTGCATATGAGGCGACTGACGATACCATGGCTTGGGTCAGGTGCACCTTAGTGCTCAAAGTGACATCTTTGTTTTGTCAACACTTTAAGGAGGTCTTTTGCAGCAGATCTGTCCAATGCAATACCTCGTTTGATTTCTTGACCTGCTGTTTCCACGGGTGTTGATTGTGGATCCAAGTAAAATGAAATCCATGACAACTTCAATCTTTTCCCTGTTTATCATAATGTTGCTTATTGGCCCAGTTGTGAGGATTTTTGTTTCCTTTATGTTGAGGTGTAATCCAATCAGAAGGCTGTAGTTTTTAATCTTCATCAGTAAGTGCTTCAAGTCCTCTTCACTTTCAGCAGGCAAGGTTGTGTTACCTGCATATCGCAGGCTGTTAATGAGTCTTCCTCTAATCTTGATGCCGTGTTCTTCTTCATATAGTCCAGCTTCTAGGATTATTTGCTCAGCATACAGACTGAATAAGTATGGTGAAATGATACAACCCTCACACATACCGTTCCTGACTTTAAACAACCCAGTATTCCCTTGTTCAGTTCGAATGACTGCCTCTTGGTCTATCCACAGGTTCTGCAAGAGCACAATTAAGCGTTCTGGAATTACTATTCTTCACAATGTTATTCATAATTTGTTATGATCCACACAGTTGAATTCCTTTGCATAGTCAATAAAACACAGGTAAACATCCTTCTGGTATTCTCTGCTTTCAGCCAAGATCCATCTGACATTAGCAATGATATCCCTTGTTCTACATCCTCTTCTGAATCCAGCTTGAATTCCTGGCAGTTCCCTGCTGATGTACTTTTTTTTGAATCGTTTTTGAATTACCTTCAGCAAAATTTTACTTGTGTATGATATTAATGATATTATTTGATAACTTCTGCATTCCGTTGGATCATCTTTCTTTGGAATGGGCGCAAATATGGATCTCTTCCAGTTGGTTGGCCAAGTAGCTGTCTTTCAAATTTCTTGGCACTGATGAGTGTTTCCAGTGTTGCATCTTTTTGCTGAAACATCTCAGTTGGTATTCTGTCAATTCCTGGAGACTTGTTTTTAGCCAATACCTTCAGTGCAGCTTGGACTTCTTCCTTCAATACCATGGGTTCCTGATCATATACCACCTTCTGAAATGGCAGGACGTCGACCAGTTCTTTTTGGTACAGTGACTCTGTGTATTCCTTCCATTTTCTTTTGATGCTTCCTGTGCCATTTTCTTTGCCAACAGAATTCCTCATTGTTACAACTCAAGGCTTGAATTTTTTCTTCAGTTCTTTCAGCTTAAGAACTGCTGAGCATGCTTTTCCCCTTTGTTTTCTAACTCTAGGTCTTTGCACATTTCATTATATACTTAATTTTGTCTTCTTGAGCTGCCCTTTGAATCTTCTATTCAGCTCTTTTACTTCATCATTTCTTTCATTCACTTTAGCTACTCTACATTCAAGAGTAAGTTTCAGAGTCTCTTCTGACATCCATTTTGGTCTTTTCTTGCTTTCCTGTCTTTTTAATGACCTCTTGCTTTCTTCATGTATGATGTCCTTGATGTCATCCCACAACTCGTCTGGTCTTTAGTCATTAGTGTTCAGTGTGTCAAATCTATTCTTGAGATGGTCTCTAAATTCTGGTGGGATATACTCAAGGTTGTATTTTGGCTTTTGCAGACTTGTTTTAATTTTCTTCAGCTTCAACTTGAACTTGCAAATGAGCAAGTGATGGTCTGTTCTGCAGTCGGCCCTTGGCCTTGTTCTGACTGATGATATTGAGCTTCTCCATCGTTTCTTTCCCTAGATGTAGTCAATTTGATTCTGTGTATTCCACCTGGCAAGGTCCACGTGTATAGTCACTGATTCTGTTGTTGAGAAAAGGTTATTTGCAATGAAGAAGTCGTTGGTCTTGCAAAGTTCTATCACGTGATCTCCGGTATCATTTCTATCACCAACACCACATTTTCCAACTACTGGTCCTTTTTTGTTTCCAACTTTCATACGCCAGTCACCAGTAATTATCAGTGCATCTTGATTGCATGCTTGATCAATTTCAAACTGTAGAAATGGGTAAAAATCTTCAATTTCTTCATCTTTGGCATTTGTGGTTGGTGTGCACATTTGAATAATATTTGTACTAACTGGTGTTCTTTGTTGGCATATGAATATTATCCTATCACTGACAGTGTTGTACTTCAGAATAGATCTTGAAATGTTCTTTTTGACGATGAATGTGACATTATTCATTTTCAATTTGTCATTGCCATCACAGTAGACCATATGACTGTCCAATTCATGATGGCCAATACTAGTCCATTTCAGCTCACTAATGCCTAAGGTATCGAGCTTTATGTATTCTGTTTCATATTTGACAACTTCCAATTTTCCTGGATCCATACTTCGTACATTGCACATTTCAATTATTAAGGGATGTTTGCAGCTGTTTCTTTTCAGAAGGTCTGAAAAGCTTTACTCCACCCATGTCACTAAGATCAATTCTATTTTGAGGTGGCAGCTCTTCCTTGTTCATATTTTAAGTGCCTTCCATCCTGAGGGGCTCTTCTTCAGGCACTATATCAAACAATGTTCTGCTGCTATTCATAAGCTGTTCACTGCCCAATTTTTTCAGAAGTAGATCGTCAGATCTTTCTTCCTAGTCTGTCTTAATCTGGAAGCTCTGCTGAAAACATGTCCACCATGGGTGACCCTGTTGGTATTTGAAATACTGGTGGCATAGCTTCCAGCATCACAGTAACATGCTTAGAACGAAAAGTTTGGCAGCAGAAGTGGATATTTTGCGTTTCACCCACTATTTTGGCTTAAGGTGATCTGGTCTTATCTCACTGAAGAGTTATTTCTCTCAACCAACTGCCTGCACTCTTTGCGAATCTACCTTTCCTGCCTCGTTCATATTCGTCAGATGCCTGTTTCATTATATGATGGTACCTCAGGGCACTTTAATAATTCAAAATACCGAGAGTTGCTCCCCTACTCTCAACAGCCATATAACTAAATTTGGAAAAGTGAGTTGTATTCGGCTTATATGCTGACCTTAGGCTCTCTATAACTTGGACTCTGACATATTTAGCTCTGTGCCTAAGAGACTGAAAGGATTCTATTACTCTCAGCTGTGTCAGCAGTATGAGCCGAAGACTGACAAAGAAGGTGAGAAGGTTCTATTTTATGTGGTGGATGGTTTTTATGAAAACAATATGGATGAGTCAGTGATATTTTGGTTTCATCATGTTTTTTGATAAACATACAAATACATACATACATTACACATTTTTATATCATTTGTTGACTCAAGGCCAAATTCTACTTGATTTTCTACTTTTTCTCTCACTAAGAGATCTAGAAAAGCTATAACATTGGAGAATAACATAGTTACTTTTTTCTAGACTCCTTCCTTCCTACCCCTTTGTACTATGGGATGGTTTGAATGTGACCAGGAGGAAGGAGATATCAAAACAGGCTAAGTTAATTAACGGGAAACAACACTCTCACTAAACTACAGCTGAATTTACAAACTACACTTCTAAAGCTGTGGCCTGGCACAGGTAGAAGACAAAATGACTCACATAACTTTTCTCTCCCAGACTTATCAGACCACCATTGGAAGTTGAGAACAGCAGACAGAGATATGTTATTCTCCACCTCAAAAGGCCTACAAACTCCATTTTGATTAGCCAAAATGAACTCTTTGTCCTTAAATGTATAATGAAATAAAAATCTGTAGATACATAGAGGACAGGGTTAAGTTAACGCCACTGGTCAGAGAAGTTTCAAGTCTTCCCAGTCCTCCTTCTAAGTGATTTTTTTTGAAAAACAAAACAACACAACACAAAACACTGCTTAGTTTTACCTTCGATAAGGACAGGCTCATTTTACTTCATTTTATGCAACTCTCTAAATCTTTAAGCTGATCTTCCTGAAATTATTCTTCTGTGCGAAAGAGTGTCATAAGATCAACATCTGAATACATTGTGGTTCCCTGGTTCATTTCACCCACAGACAGGACTTGCCACAGCCACTAAAGCAAGTAGGAATTTACTCTTGTGTTCCATATTTTAGCTGATAAGAAGAGAAACTTCACCTTCTCAACATCTGTCAGTTATTAATGTGTTTCATATAGTTTTTTACATATTCCTGCATTTTAGCAGAAGTTCAGACAACTAACAAGTACTTTTGATCGGTATTACAAATGCAAATCATCTACAAATTACAGTCCTATTATTATATCCCTATCATGTGAAATAAAATAATTTACATGCAGAATTAGTTGCATTTTTCTCTCAATAAACAAGCAGACGTATTTCCAGACCTTTTCAATTATTATTATGGACCATGCCAGAAACATACTATTTTGTAAATAAGTGGGGAAAGATTTAATATTACAGTGAGAGGTTCTGGGAGCATTCTTTAACTATTAACTCACAGATTGAAAATTGTGGGCACAAAGTTTTATTTTTATTTTTTCAAAAACTGAATTGAATGTGAGGGTCTCTGAGTGGGATGTGAACTCTTGTGTTTTGCTGTTGTCTACGTTATGCCCTGATACACACATTTATATTACTGCACTTTTGTTTTGGATTCCTCCTTTAGATAACAGTCTTTTTGATTTATGAAACAGGTATTTTTAATACCTTTTTATTTCCTCTTACTAAAAGTAGGAAAAAAAGATAAAATCTTTGGTGTATGTGTATGGGTTTTTTTTTTTTTTTTTTTTTGGCTATACACAAATAACACTACCAGGTAGGAGACTAGGAGACTTATAGAAACTTATTCTTTAGTAATCTTTCTCATTGCTGATGTTGCCACTGTCCAAAAGACTTTTTATTGTTTTTCTGGAAATAGCTGCATTTGAAAAAAATATTTCTGGACTTCAAGAGTGACACTGCTCTGTTTCTAGCAAAAAGAAAGTCATTCTGAGTTATGTTTAAGGAGAAGAGAAATAAAAAACCAAACTCATTGCCATCGAGTCAATTCTAACTCATAGTGACACTGTAGGACAGAGTAGAACTGCCCCATAGGGTTTCCAAGGCTGTAATCTTTACAGAAGCAGACTGCCGTAGCTTCCTCCTGTAGAGTGACTGGTAGGTTTGAACTTCAAACTGCTGACCTTTCAGCTAGCAGCTGAGCACTTAACCACTGTGCCACGAGGGCTCCTTAAGGAGAAAAGGCAAAGAGTAAAATAGTCTTTCTCCCATGGACTTTATTTTGCTCAGCAAAATAAAAACATCAAGAACAAATACTAGATAGGGTTCTTTCTTGAAAGTTGAATGCAACGAAGTGTTTTATACTGGGGGTGATCTTTGCCAACTCTTGAAAGTCTCCATTTTCTGCCCTGAGGTACACTTCTTCTCTTCATGACATGCTAGAAAACTGTGGTAATTATAGGGGTAGTGGCAAAACCTGGTTGAAATCAGATGGTCTCTATGTTATACCCAGCTCACGGGGGTACCTTCCCAACATTAGAGTGAATTCTTTATTTGTAACTATGAGCTTAAAAAATGTCTTTCTTTAGAGCCATAGCAATGACCTCATCATATTGTTGTGTGTCCGCAAGTCGATTCTGACTCGTAGTGACCTACAAGGTAGATTTAATCTCCAACTACCTACCACATTCACTGAAGAAATCTTGGCTCCGTCTGTGCATAAGAAAGGAAGTCTATTCCAAAGCAATTTCATTAAAAAAAATGATTTTTAAAAAGTTCTCCAATCACCATGCTCTTTAATTTGAATTGCTAATTGACCCCGTCAAGTGATAATTTAAAAATCTAGTTCTTCCTGTTTAAACTTTACACTGGGAGAATGGTCACTGAGACTGCACAGGCAATTTTGAAATGGGCACTGTAACAAAGAAAGTAAAACTATCTGGAGCTGTATGAGAATCTTGCGCTGGGTTTTGCTTATTCTAAGTGACAAATTAAGCTGATGCTCATAGCAGCCTGGGCTACAGCAATAGAAAGGAGCAGAAGCAGATAGAGTATCTCCCTCACTGTCATGAACCCAGAAAGTAAAAGGAGTGAGGAAATCCCCTTTTGTCCACAGATTAACAAACAAATACAAAAAATAAATAAAATTCTAAGACAGTACGAATGCAATTACTATTCCCTTGTGTCAATTACATACAGCATGCCTACATATAGAGAATGGGCTTCATTCACAGACAGGACATATGGCAGTGCACTATCAAAATGCTTTGATAATCCTAAATTTTGTTTCTGGTGCTGAGATAGTATGATAGGAACTGCATTTGCAACTTATTAAATATTTCCAGGAACAAACAGTTCAATTTTTTCAGGACTTATAGTTTTGACTACAGGCAGTCCCTGGGTTAGGAACGAGATCCGTTCTTAAGTCTGTCTTTAAGTCAAATTTGTAGGTAAATCGGAACAGATACATACGGTTCTTATTTAGCGTCAGTTAGTCAAATGTTTGTCTTACTATATAGTATATATTTTATCTTTCTATGCATATGAAACACTTACGAAAAACTTCCAAACTGCGCAATGTTTTCATGAGTGTCACAAAGTAGTGTGTGCGTTCGTTGTTACGAACCATTTTACTTAACTCAAACTTTTAACATAATAGGCTTTATGGCAGTCCATTCTTAAGTACGAGTTGTCTGTAAGTTGGATGTTCATAACCCAGGGAATGCCTGTAATTAATCCTCCATGGTGCAAGGGCCAGTCAGGAGGTACCCGTTGGTTCCACTGGTCCCATTGGTGGTTGTCGCAGTGTGGGGGTTCTTCCCTGGAGGTTCTGAGTCCTCCTCATCTGAGCTAGACTCAATATCACTTCGATCATCCTTAGACACCTGTGGAATACACAGAAGGTGAGTGTAGCCAGCTTCTAATGAACCATCAATGTATGCCATGCTCAGAAGCACATTCAATGATACACAAAGGTAAACAGATCCAAATGTTAAGAAAAAAACAGCAGAAGAAGATAAGAATATTGCCATATAAATGAATTCCCCTTTACTGGAGATAAATAATTTGAGTGACAAAGTCACTGATCAAGGAATTCAGGGAGATTTAGGAATCACAGAGGGCTGGACCTGTTAACTTCTTTAAGGTACCTTTCAATATTAAGAATGTACTAGACCACGCATCATAGTCTTACCCGAAAAGTGGCATACGGTACTACTGGAATAACATTATAAGCATTTAGTAAAAATGCATCAATTTTCTCTCTGATGATCATAGTTTCCTTGAAAATCACTTAAAGTCAGCTCTCAATTAACCACACTAATGGAAAGATTTGCTATCTTAGAGCATTAAAAAAATCATTCCTATTTGGCTTTCTGATACACTGTTTTATGATTTGTTTTCCTTTGCTATCTGCTAAGATCAAGTAGAAATTTTGATTTATATGCCACATAACTAATGGCAGCAGGAGACATTTTGGGAACCTGCTGGTGAGGTCAAGCTTAAAATATTTCCTGAGGAAAAATCTACTGATTGGATCATTGTGAACTGGCTCCCATCATTCCAGGGTTCTTTATTCCTACATTCAGTCTCATTAAAGTGATGAGAGAAACAAGCTAAGGCACCAAAATATAGAGCTGTACATTATCATAAAGGATGCCAATAATCCCACTGTCTAGCAAGAAAGTAATTTAGGGAGAAATTAAGGGAATGTTCTACTGCTTTGAAAATGTTAATAGTTTGAACCTCCTGCTCTATAAGTCTAATTATGATAAGCATTTTTACCCAAACCTTAAGACCTTTTGAGTAACTGAGTACCATTTACTTATTTTATAAATGGGGTGATACTAGAGGCCTGGTAGCCTGGCTTCATATAAATCTTCCAAATGTAGTTGCCTGTGATTCTCTAGGGTGAGCTGGGAAAGTTGGCTAAGTCTCCTGGTAGATATATCAGAATTAACTGTGGGTTTTTCACATCACATCCTCTCTGTGCCACCAGCACCCACTCCAACTCAAGAATCTTGGAATCTACTTCCTCCAACTTGAAAAGCCACAGTTATTGCAGGAGAAAGCCACCTGTCTTAGGTGGGTTAGGACAGGAGAAAGTAAAAGCTAAGAACTATTGCTCCATTCCAATCAGAGATGAAGTCTACTTCAGAACAATGAGCCTCACTATAGTGCTCCTTGTGATGAGGCTGAACTCTCACGGACCATCTCTAAGAAGGTTTGTTACTGAAACACCAAAATAAATTATAGGACACTTTAACTCAAAAAATACAGGTCACAAAGACAGTATTACAGTAAAGTTCCACTATATTTAGAAGTTCATTAGTTATAAATTAAGCTGCTAGTAGAAAACTCTAGTTTCAGAGAGTGATTAACTTACACTTACATGCTTAGTAAGATTATTTTAATCTGCATTTAGAAAACTTTGTATTTATGTTACCTTCACAGAAAGGAACAAGTTAGAATATCTTACAACAACCCACAGGAAAACTGAGTCCATAACCCATGCCCAAGATGAATCTTACTGTCCTAGGTGAGCAGCAGTGGCAAGAATAAAATGAATGATCATTTCTCTGTAAATCTGAAGGAATAAGCTGAGGAGAAGATAATATGTCTGGTGGAAATAGCAATGCAATAAGGACCCAAGTAATCTAATCCACGGCGTCCTTGCATCTTTAGTGTTGTTACCATATTGACAGCAGTGCACAAATTAATTTAATTTGCATCCAAATGAAAACAAGAAAAATTTTAAATAGAAATATATGCTCATTTTAAAGAGTAAAAAGTCACAGAAAAATAAACTTTAGCTTTTAAACAATGTTATTGGTCAAAATAACATTGGATTATTTTGGATTTATACAGGAGCAGATGCTGAGAACTGGCTTTGTAGTACATGACTAGAAGTCCTGATCTCACCTGTGAAGGGACCTCACTGAGTACAAGGGCAGATCAAGCAGACAGCTGATGCTCAGCCCTTCATTCTGACTTTCGTTCATTAGCAGGACCATGTTAGTCCTCTCCCAAACTTAGTTCTGTTTCTCCTACTTTACTTTGTTCTATTTTGGTCTCTTAGGCCAAATGTTAAAACACCAAATGAAAGACATTCCTCCCTTTCTCTGCTGGATCATGCAAAATTTAACAGAACACAAGCTCATACAAAAGAGCACTAACAAAACTGTTCCTAGTACTCCTCCCAGCTGGTGGGAGCCACACCTTAGTAGGAGTCTCTAGTCAGTGTCAACAGATTAGACAGAGAAATATGCATGGAAACAAAAGCACCAGAGTGCCCCTCCAGCAGGCTAAGGAGCACCTAGGACAGGGATACAGAAAGGTGGGAGAAACTTACATGTAAAGGGTTCCACTTCCCAGCCTTCCAGGGTGGCAAAAGGAAGAGAACAAACAATGAAAGTAAGAAAATGTCATCTCACAGAGAACGACCCGGAAAACTCACTGCTGTACACAGAGGGACTGACCTCAGGAAGCTTTATCTGAATCAGCCCCATGAGTCCTTCATAACCAAAGAGATTTAACTATTTTTTACTGGAAAAGTCATGAATGGACTCATTTTTCAGTTTCAGAGAAAGGTTTGCTTAAATGGGCATCCCGTACCAAGCAATCTTTCTCATGAAGGGAAAGAAGTTATTAAATTTCTGTTCTGTATAAGTATAACCAGAGAAGGTCCAAGGTAGATAGAGAGAAATGAGAAAACACACACACAAATAACACACCCTCATTAAATCTAAAATTATAAATGCAGATCACTGGGAATCATCATCAAAACAATGCTAAAGGTTTTTAAAAAATGAACTAAATAGAAGAAAATGAAAATTGGTTTGTGTTGAGGTTGTATTACATTTTGATAAAATAATAGCAGTTTTTATGAAATTTGAAATAATAAATTATATTACTGATTCAGAAGAACCAAAAATCAAAAATTTCTAGGAGATATTGGAGAGGGTACATTTTATCTTACCTTGCCTTTTGAAATAGCTTTGCAAGCTATTTTTATGATAAAGTAAGACCAGAAGCAGTTCAATCCTTGTATTACCAATAGCAGTAGGTTAAAAACCCACCAGGAAGGGTAAGGTCCAACAATCTCCCAACTTTCAAATAATGTAGTATTTAACACCCTGAAGAGAAGAAGAAAGTAATTACCGATACTACATTTCACTTTGCTTTCGAAGAACTCTAGTTACTGCATGGAAGCACCAGGTTAGCAAATATCCCTTAGGTAACTCTCTCTCTCACGAGACCTCAGTGGTGCAGTGGTTAAGTGTTCAGCTGCTAACTGAAAGTTTGGGGGTTCAAACCCACCAGTTGCTCCATGGGAGGAAGATGTGGCAGTCTGCTTCTGTAAAGATTTACAGCCTGGAAAACTGTAGCAGAGCAGTTCTACTCTGCCTTATAGGGTCGCTATGAGTTGGAATCGACTTCACCAAAATGGGTTACTCTCTCCCTGAAGGATGGCCTGAAAGCTGATCAGGTACTTAGAAAACTCATCACTGATGTATTTCCCCGTCGGCACGACATTCATTTTGATTCTGGTTTGAATAGTGTACTTACACTCCTCCTTCACTATTGTCATCATTTCTTCCATTAATTTTCTTTGGTTGCTATTCTACCTCTAAGCACCTGTTAAAAGGCCTGCATGGTCTGTAAAGTTGCTTTTGGGCTTTAAAGAAGTGTGAGGACCACCACTGGATAACATTACATTGCAAAAAAAAAAAAGATTAATTAGTTCCAGAAACTACAAACCATATGCCTAGCACAGTGCAAAGCACAGTGGAAGTTAGAATAGGCTTCAGACCTAATCCCTGTCCTGAAGTGGCTTATAGTCTCATAGGAGAGCCATTTGTTGTTGCTGTTAGCTGCCGTCGAGTCACCCCCGACTCATGGTGACCCATGTGTTACAGAGCAGAACTGCTTCATAGGATCTTCTTGGCTGTAATCTTTACAGAAACAGATTACAGAGCGTCCTTAATTTTGCAAGGCTTCTTCTGGGAAAGAATTGACAATTGAAAGACATTATTTTGAAGTGATGCCTTGAAATGAATACTGTAAAGATTAAAAAAAAAGAATATAATAAATTTAGTTAGCTTTAAGAGGGTATACTCAAGGTAGGCAAAAGTGATGGATGTAATTGGTTTTCCCTGTAATCTACCACCAGGACCAGAATGGAGTAGCTATCTGGAGCAGATGCATGAGGGCTGGTTTCTAGTGCTTTCTCTAGTTTCTGCCTGTGTCTGCTTCTAGTCATTGGAAGTTGACTGACATCTTCTGGACCCATACTGCTGCCACAGAGAAGCCACATGGTACCTATATATCTTTGGCGTTGCTCTCACTTCCCTGTTCCTCATCTTACTGCCAGGCTGGTTTGGAGATCCGAGGGTGTTGACAAGATAACTCATCTAAGTGCATTTCTATCATCTGCCACTGTACAGTGCTTTGCTGGGACCAATGTTATTCTACAGGAGAGGTCAGGTGGACAAACTTAAAGGCTAAGAAGGAGGGATAGAAAATGCTCAGATTTAAGACACAGATGACTCATACAAGGGCAGAACATGAGAATGGGATGAGACTGATTTGAGAGAGGTTAAAAAAGTACTTTGTGAATTCACAAAAGGAAAACACCGCTGTTGCAATAAGAAGAAAAACAGAGAATAAAAAAATACGCACAAGCAGTTTTTTTTCCACCCTAATTTCAGCAATCCTTAGTCATAGACTAGAATAAGACTAACAGAATTTCTCTTTAACCCTTTGTCTTAGTCATCTAGTGCTGCTGTAACAGAAATACCACAAGTGGATGGCTTTAACAAAGTGAAATTTATTCCCTCACAGTCTAGTAGGCTACAAGTCCAAGTTCAGGGTGTCAGCTAGAGAGGAAGGCTTTTTCTCTCTATCAACTCTGGAGGAAGGTCCTTGCCATCAATCTTCCCCTGGTCGAGGAGCTTCTCAGCACAGGGACCCCAGGTCCAAAGGACACACGCCCCTGCTCTTCTTTTCTTGGTAGTATGAGGTCCCCGTCTCTCTGCTTGCTTCTCTCTTTTATATCTCAAAAGAGATTGGCTCAAGACACTATCTAATCTTGTAGATCTCATCAATATAACTGCCACTAATGCATCTCATCAACATCATAGTGATAGGGTTTATAACACATAGGGAAATCACATCAGATAACAAAATGGTAGACAGTCATATAATACTGGGAATCATGACCTAACCAAGTTGATAGATATTTTTGGGGGACACAATTCAATCCATGACACCCTGCCACACTAAACACCACCCCCACAAAAAAACTCCACCAAACCTGTTGCGATTGAGTTGATTCCGACTCATAGCAACCCTACGGGACAGAATAGAACTGCCCCATAGGGTTTCCAAGGAGCGGCTGGTGGAATGGAACTGCTGACCTTTTGGTTAGCAGCTGAGCTCTTAACCACTGCGCCACCAGGTCTCCTCCTGTCACACTACTTGTCTTTAAATCAGAATATACTATAAACATATATGTTAAAATCTTAGCATCAATAGCAGGGATTTGAATGTGATAATTCATTAAAAGAATAATACCCTGTGATGTAGTAGTACTCATTCCAGGGGAGGAGAGGTTAATATTTAGAACTCTATTAATACAGTGTGTCACATCCATAGGCCAAATTGGTACAAACCTAATTATTTCAATAGCATCAAAAGACATTTGGTAATGTTCAGCTCCCTACTGTTGATGTTCAAAAACCAGAACTCAAAAAACTTTGTAAGATTTTTAACCCTCTCAAATCAGCAGATGCCACCATATTTAACAAAAACCACAGTTATTTTCTTAAAAATCAGAACAAACTATGGACAGCCAGTACCACTACTGTTATTTAAAACTATTCTGGAAGTTCTGGCCATTGAGTATGGCAGGAAGTCAAAGGTATAATTTCAAATACATAGACATAAAACATCTATAAATATTTTCAAAGTGGCAAATAATCAAAATGTCAATAGCAGGGAATGGTTAAAAAATCAGTATTCATTCTCATTCCAAAAATTATGAAGTCATTCAAAGTACTAAATATGTTTTAAGAGTTTCAAATGATAGAAAAAATACACAGTACCATCTCAACTTCATAAAATAAATATATACATATGTATGCACACATATATATATACATACACAAATATATATGTATACATGTACATGAATACATACACAGAAAAGAAACTTGAAAAGAATTGAAATAGTTATAAACTTTGGTTGGTGAATTTGGGAATTTTATATTTTCTTCTTTACGTTCTTCTATTTTTCAAATCCGTAACAGATATTTAGAAAAAAAAACAAGTTATTTATAAAAACGAATAAGTTAAGATAAAGTCCATATACCTGCCTTGTTTACTGCGATCTGTTTAAAACCAGTTTGCAGGCCAGGGGACAACAGTTCTAAACAAGGCTCAACTCAGTTGAAGCGAAAGACCTACACATCTCATGCCCTGATATCTCCAGCACCTCACAAAATACTGGGCAGTAACGTGTTGGCTAGACACATTTGTTGATTGACTGTGTATTTGTTCTTCCAGTAATCAAATGAATAAATAAGCACAAGAAAGCTCTGGAATAATAATAATTTTATTTCAAAACTAGCTCTGCTTCTTGACATAGTATACATTTTGACATTCAGAGAGAACTTAGTTTCATTTCAACAAAAAGAGGTCTTGTATAAATAGCAACAATGACTGCATTATGCTATTCATTATAAATTTGCCTATGCTGGATTATAGGCTGGAAGCCTTTCTCATCATTACTATGCTAGGAGCAGTGCTACTGCTTGGCTTAATTTGATCAGGGTATCAGTGCAGTTGATGGTGACATGGGATTCTCATTAATTTCTGAAATGCTGTATCAGAATTCATAGGCTTTATCATGAGAAGCAGTGTCACCGCTGAGATGCTGCTCAAAAGAAATGGGATTTCTTTGAAAATTGACTTGGCTGTCTGCAGAGACACATGGGAAAATACAACCAGTGCACCAAATGCATATATCTCTCAGTGAGAAGCTTAGTAAGAAAAACAATATATTAGGCATGTAGACTAGGAGAACTATGCCAACTTGACTCTGAAAAACAGTCAACCCAGGGATCAGGGCCTTTGTTTGTCCACAATTTATTTCTAATGAGGAAATGGTCCCTTTGGGACAATCTTTTAAAAAGATGATAAAATTGGATTTTACAAGATTTTATTCCTTCTGTGGGGATGAGCTGAGGGGGGACTGAGGAGAGAAGGAGAGAACGGGAAGGGAGAAGGGAAAGAATATATCCATTACGAAAGGGTGTTAATAGCATTTTACTTCTGTTTTGGAGAGAAGACTTTTATTTCATTTGTAGGACATACAGAGGTCAGGCAAGTCAGAGGTCACAATCTCCAACTGCTTATGGGGCCAGGCCTATAACACAAATTGGTGAGAGAGGACAGATTTAAAACAGAAAGGAGTGCGGGACTGTGATAAAATAGAAAGTGGGTATACACAGGAAATAGGCTGATAAGCTCTAACCAATTGTAGTTTACAGGAATCTTGGAGCAGTGTTTTCAGATCTTCCAATCTCTAAAGAGAAACATAAGATTTGCGTTTCATGTATAAATGCTATGTGGCCCTAAATGCCCATGAGGATGGGTAAAATTGAAAAGACTAACAATACCAAGTATCAACCAGTATGTTGGGCAACTAGAACTCTCATATGTTGCCGGTGGGAGTGAAAATTAGTACAATCACTTTGGAAAACTATTTAGCAATGTCTCCTGAAGCTAAACATACATATATCCTGTGACTCAATGATTCTACTCCTGAGTATATATCCAAGAGAAAAGAGTGCTTGTGTCCACCAAAAAGATATGTACAGGGATGTTCACAGCATTATTCATAGTAGCCTCAAACTGGAAGCAACCTAATTGTCCGTCAAGATTAGAATGGATATACTGTGGTAGTGATATACAATGGAACACGGTACAGCAAAGAAAAGACTGAACTATTGCTACCAGCATCAACAGAGATGAATCTCAAAGACATAATATTAAGCAAAAAAATATGCAGACGCAAAAGGGTATGTACTGTAATGACTCCATTTATGTGAAGTTCAAAAACAGGCAAAACAAA